GCATTTAAAGTTTATCTGCGTAATACTTTATTTTTCCATCTTTTTGTCTTTGTTTACGCGCGGAGAAGCTTTCTCTTCTGCTAACAGAGTCGGTAAAAGAACGTTCAAGGTAAATATTTGTTATATAATGTTTTGTACACAAGGGAACTCGAATGTCTAACTAGGAAACTGATTTCATTAAATGTTTTTCAATCAACCAAGAATTGAAAGGTTCGTCTGAAGTAATAGATTGACTGATGGCAACCTCTGACAAGTACTCTAAGACTTTGAAGCTGAAAGCATATTGATTTTCTTGTTCGTCTCAAGCGTAAGAGCTTCATTGATAATCGGTATCATTTGTTTGCTTTCTATATTGAATATTCAATAGACATGATATATGTTTTTTAAAATGATACGTATACCATTTTTTCATTAAATTACGTTAAAGTTTTTTTTTGCGTTGTTGATTACAGCTACAGCGAAAACTTCAGATGGCGTCGGTACTCAGAAGTCGCGTAATGGACTCAGGACCTATGCGTGCGCAGACTCAGGGGGCAGAAGCTAACGAAAATGGAGCATGAAATTCTGGATCGACCAGACCGCCAAAGAACTGAGAATCACTTCATTGGACGTTTTCTGGTTTTACACTTATCGAATAGAGTTATCCATTGTTGTCAGTCAAAGAGTTATAGGTTATTTAGTGAATCATGATATTATCGGCATAGATTGGAATAGAGTAATGTTAAGCTTACCTGTAAATCCACCATTGAGATAACAATTTTAGAAAAAATAACCATTGTGGTTATCTACGACTGCATCACGGACGTGATATAATGTTTAGGCTTCAAATATCAGTTATTGAAAAAGACAGTAATGTAATTTAGCTTTCGAAAGACATGTTAGGTTAAGTTAATTTTTCTTAAAAAAGTGCATTTATTGTGTCATATGCCAATCAGAATAAACCTAAAGTTCACTTAAAAATAAATTTTACTTCATTACAGTCGAGAAAGGTTGGATTCAGTCTGAGTTAAGGTGATTTCTCGGAAAAAAAACGCTATCGAACAATTTTGTTAAACTTTCCGCAAATTTTCCTATTGACGATCTGGTTGGATAGGGTCTGACTTCGCTTAAAGCACTGATGTCCATGGAATGGAGAACATTACCTGAATTTACTCTTAAGTATATCGAAAATCTCCAGTGTTTGATTCACCTTAATGACTTTGTTGACCAAAGCTCTCTAAGGCCTTTTTCTCACTTATTCGAAACGGCCACAAGAAAATTTACCCTTGGCACTGTGGGACCTTCACATCTTCAAATTCTCAGACAATTTTTAACTCAGAACAGCGCATGACAGTCATGTATACCCGCACAGAATCACTGCTACTTAATACATTTAGATAGAGCACTTCCATCAAGTTTGTGAGAAATACCTCTCTAAGTGTTAAATCAAAAGCTTTGAACTCCATTAGTCTCAGCTCTTCTCGTCGTTGACGTGACTTTTTATGCAAATTTATTCTTAGCTCGAAACATTTAACAAAGCTAAATCTATCACATGACTTGTGATCAGTAAATAGATAACAGTTTGGCTCGAAAGACTCCTCTTTAAACTTTGTTCAGATGAACACGATCGTCGAAAACTAAAAGGAAAGCTTGTTTCCATTTCAAATATACTTGAATATTCAAATGGCCCAAGATAAGCAAAAAAAAAACTGCATTTTTCCTTCAACCAAGGACGCTGTTGATCAAAGCTTCTTCAGCGGCGTTAATTAACAATTGGTTCATACGGCAGCGTGCGTTCATCGAGATATGAAGCACGCGGGAAGTTTGGAGAGCACGAAAGATGCTTGAGTGCTCTCCAAACTTTCCAGGTGCTTCATATCTCGATGAACGCACAGTTGAAGTATGAATCAATTGTTTTATAACATTTTCAACCCGATGGAAATGTTTTTTCTCGAGGGATTTGTTAGCGGACGTCATGAGCGTGCACAATAGGAATATGAAGCACGCTCGCGCAATTGAATTTGATTAGACAAGTTTACTAGCTATGTTATAAGCGTGCATGATTGCATTTGCTTTTTGTTCGACCCACTTTTGCTAATAACTGATTCTCTAGTAATTCAATTTGGCATTCAAACGCAAATTTCAAATGTCTGTAAATCGCCTGGGAATAGCCTACTTGAGTCGTATCTAAAGGTGTCCTTTAGACAGCTTAAGATCACGCGATATGAACGTCTGGGAATGAATAACCATCTGGTCGACATGTTCTTTGTTTGGGATTGTCATATGAAAGTTTTG